CCGAGAACTGAGCCGTGGGGGACCCCATACTTAAGAGCATGATCTGATGACTTAATCCCTTTAATAAAAACAGATTGGTAACGATTTGACAGGTAAGAAGAAAACCAGCTAAGGGCAGTCCTGGATAATCCAAAAGACACTTCCAATTGCTTCAATAAAATGTGATGGTCAATTGTATCAAAAGCTGCTGATAGATCTAAAAGGCTCAGCAAAACAACTTTTCCTGAATCACAATCAGTAAGCATGTCATTCATGACTTTAAGAAGTGCTGTTTATGTGCTGTGGTTAGCTCGATAGGCAGACTGGAATGGCTCTAACAGATTGTTTTCTTGTAAGTGATGACGAAGCTACTCGAGGACAACCTTTTCAAGGATTTTAGACAAAAAAGGTAGATTTGAAACAGGTCTATAGTTCTTTAAGACATTCTGATTAAGTTTTGCTTCTTAAGCAAAGGTTTTACAAGAGCGATTTTAAACGAATCTGGTACTGATCCACACACTAGAGAATTATTTATGATTTTAGTAGTAAATGGGATCAGTTTGTAAATGCAGGAAGACAACAGAGAACTAGGAACAGAGAACTAGGGACAGAGTCCAGATCACAAAGTTTGCTAGGGGATTTTAGAATTACAGATTTAATGTATTCTTCAGAAACAGGTTTAAACTTATCAAGAATCACCCCATCATATACATCAAAATCACAACATGTTTCATAGTCATCAAGGTCGTTTCTTAGTTTCTGGACTTTATCTGTAAAATAATCAGCAAACTTTTCGGGTAGTTCTTGATCGCTAAAAGAATTCGGGAGACTTGTCTCTTTGACCCTCCCTAATAGTTCATCACAAATGCTGAATAATTGTTTACATGATTTTGAATTTTCCAATTTAGAAACATAGTATTTCTTTTTAGCATATTTAGTTACAAATTTCAGCTCTTGCTTCTTTAATCTAAAAATGTGCTTGTGGATGGTGAGCCCTGTTTGAAGCCATTGTCTCTCTGCCTTCCTGCATTCGATTTTGGCCGCTTTCACCTCAACCCCAGACCATGGTGCATATGGTCTAGTCGACAGACGACGTGTTACAAGTGGTGCGTGCTTGTCAAAAATTGCCCTAACAGTGGAATTATACAAATCAACACAGACTGTTTTAAAATTACTTAAAGATTTCAACAAATCCATTTTAAACTTATTAATGTCAATTCCTTTGTTGTTCCTTGTAGACACAGAATGTTTTTCAGGCTTGGTCTTAGTCACATCCAACACAAGTAAGATGAAGTAATGGACAGAAAATAGTTTGTCTACAACATAAATTTTTCTAAAAGCGTCCGAGTCTTTTTTGATGACGACTCCGTCAAGTGTGTGGCCAGAACGATGGGTGGGTTCAGTGATGACCTGAACCAAGTTGTGCTGTCTGAATAATTCTGTCAAATGTTTGACTCCAGGTGACGATGGAGAATCAAAGTGGAAATTAAAATCACCAGACACAACAGGATAACCTTTCTTGACCGAAAATGACGATAAAAACTTTGCAAATTCTTTTAAGAAAGCAGACTCCGTTGACTTGTTAATCTTGCTGTATGGTGGGCGGTAAATACAAACGACGTTATAAAATTTGGAACCAAGATCCATAGATAAATTTATAGCTTCAAATGTTACGTGGTCACACTTAAGTACACTAGTTGTTATTTTAAGGCTCAACAAACTTCTGTATATGGCAGCAATGCCTCCCCCTCTTCGACCTTGGCGTGGAAAAGATTTAAAGACGTAGGTTGAGGGTACTAAATTAACGAGTGTTACCTCATCACCACATAGTGTTAACCAAGTTTCGGTGAGAAAAAAGATGTCAATATTTTTCTCTGTGATGATGACGAAAATATCTTCAGTGAACAACCATAAAATACATGGAAAATGCAAAAACAGGGCCATCTCGAGTTCTGCTGAGCAAGACACATGTATTATAATCTTTACTCTTTGCAACATTGCCAATGGCTGTCAGCTTCATATCCATTGTTTGAAAAACTGAATCGAACTTGAAGGAAGGCATCTCTTTCTTTAAATACATTCATTTCATCAATATCAGTAGCTCTAGAAGAAGCTGAACTTGTTGTAGTTGCTCTTTTTTTTGGAGCTGGTGTGCCACAACATGACGGTGGTACTTCTGGAAATATTGCTGGAGACTCTGTGGGCACTATAAATCTTCTAGCCCGTGTCATCAGCTGGGAAGTGCAGAGAGCAAACTCCCATGTACTATACATTGTAATCCGTGACATCATCTACCACTACCATGATTAATTTATTTGGAACTCTGTTGATCCACTGTGCTTTTTTCTGAATCTTTTGGAAATCTATATTATTATTTTGCTATCTCCCTTTTGGCTGGCATAACCACTTCCACAGCCCTATCCCCTACACTTTCTTCCCATGTTCAAATTTAAAATGTTGCTCACACGGTTCTTTGCGCTAAAACTGAGACGTCTGCTGAAAACTTTTTCAAAATAACATTAGTAACAATAACATTCAAGATGAAAGAAAACTAGACTCTCGGCTGAACACTAAAACACACAATATAAGCACAATTTTAATCCTTAGAATTGAGTGTAGTGAAAATACATCCAATCAAACGAAAAAAAAAGTGTACATCCCAAGAGCACTGAACGAAACAATGAAGAGGCTAGGAGATTAGACAGACTAAACGGCTATACACTACAGACTACACACATTACTATACACTATCGGCACGCAAAAGCGTAATGCAAAAATGTTCCACCACCTGTATACGTTTTAGTATTACAGCATCTACCTATCGCCGCTTTTCGCATTTAATCGCCGTTTTTCGCATTGATCCTCGATAAGATAAGGACCGGTCTCGAGGTGAGCTTATCAAGATAAGGTTGTCCTCCCCGGCCCTCAATGCTGGAGCCATTCGTGCGAGCTGGGTAGCCTGAACTGAGAAGGCCTAGGTCGCCACCCTTGGAGAACGAGGGACGCTTCTGTCACTTGTTCATGTTGACGTCCTTTGTTACTTGAAAAAACGCAAGGGGGGAAATGGAAAGTGGCCGTTTGTACAGGTGGCTGTCTCATAGAGGTGGCCGTCAGGGCAAGTTTAACTGTATTACGTTTATGTCCCTCAAAGATGAACTAATCCTGACTCTCAGTTTTCTAATTGTTGGCGCTCGTTATGTCATTACTAGAAACGCCAACGGGAATCAGACATGACCATCTTGCCCTGTCTGTTACTACTAAACCGACCAATACTGATTCAGTTTGTTTTTGAAATATCATGAGAAAGACTTGGAACTTCTGATTCCCTCATGCAATGATGTGTTTCGGTCAACATTATTGCGTTAATTAGCGCTCAATTCAGGATGAAAAATACGATTTTCTAAACCTCCCGCACTGTCACGCTGACCGAAGAATGCCCAAGCGATGACCCAGCTCACCGTCAAAGCTCAGTGCGGCACTAGCTACCTGAGTCCTCAACTAAAGTATCCTGTTTCTGTGCGCCGTGCTATTGGCAATAGGTTAATGTTAGATTTATAGGAACCTGCCAGACCCGGGAGTATGAGGAAATCTGAGAACTGCGACGGGAAAATACATTAAGTTCTCGAATAGATCTATTTGAAAACTAAATTGGATAGGTCAGTAAATTAATCTTTGCCAGTCGCGATTGTATCTATTTGAAAACTAAATTGGATAGGTCAGTAAATTAATCTTTGCCAGTCGCGATTGTGATGTTTGTTCGGCTTTTCGCGGTCTGACAGTACGTTTCTTGTGAACAGGCGGCTATGGCGGCAGACGGAAGTGTATGTAACACCGAGATTCTATCGGCATAATCAAGATCTACTTTCACTTTCGTTACCACCCAGAAATTTCCGGGTAATAGTCTGATACCATAACATTTGTGAAATGCAGGTCGTGCATTATAAACGCTGTGTTGCCACGCAAATAAATCAATATTTGTCTCTTGTAGAAAAGAAGAGAAAAGAAAATACAAGCGTCGTCCGATTTTCAACTTGTTGGGCTCGTCATTGTGACCGGCCATTGAACCTGTGCTCGTTGGCATCACATGGTACAGCATTGTGTGAGTGTGAGTACTGGCGGTTGTTGGGGTCGCCAAAGTTCTTTCAAAGTCTGAGCGTTGCAAAATATGGCTCCCGAATGGGGGAAATAAAAAAAAAAAAGATATACACTCAAGGGCTCTGAAGGCAACCTGATAACTGTTGGAGAATTTTGATAAGAGCTCTCTGCAAAGCGCGCTTTGGTGCAGGCTTTGTGTGGAATCGTAATCCACCTTACCTTGTAAGCTTTGTTATTGAACTAAAGTGTATGCGTTTCTTTGGATGGGTGATAGTGATAATAAATTATTACTATATTTTAGCTTTCTGTTCAAGGTTGGCAGATTTTCAGGGTCACTACATCTTGCCCCCCGTCAGTTCTTACAACTTTCACTCTGATAGGTCTACTTGAGCCAATCAAGTTATTACTCTACTTGAGTTTGAGCAACAATCCTGATGAAAACAATTTGGGTGTTATGGGTTGTTGGTATTCTCTTCAAACAGGCTCCCAAATGCCATTTTTTAACCCTCTAAAAGCACTAAATTTCAGTTTCTTTGGGGCTTCCCCACCTTGACCTCCACTGGGACGCTGTTCCTGGACTCTGTTGGGGCCTTTGCGGCCTCCAGACCCCCGGCTTAATTTTCCTTACTTTTCATCTTCAGCCATTGGAAGCACTGGATCATTGTTGTCTGTGCAAGAATAACTTCTTTTTTTATATCCGTCCAATGACTATTTGTATGTGTGTATTTATTAAAGTGTGTATATGTGTGTGTCTATGTGCATATGTGTGTGTCTATATGCATGTGTGTGTGTGTTTGTGTGTTTGAATGTGTAGGTGTATGTATTTACTATCCCCCAGCAAATAATTATATGTAGAGATCAAAAAGATGTTCTTATCTTATCTTATCGTATCTTAATCTGTCTTATCTTTTTTCTTTTCTCTTCAGGAGGCTGAGCGGACATATGTGGACTCAGTGCAGTTAACACCGTCCAGCGAGAGAAACATTGGCGTGGGCAGCATGGCTTCCCCAAACGGTACAGAGAAGCTCTCGTACGCTGGCTGTACAGACACAATGGATGATAACATGGATTCGCTGTCTGTTCAGATACAACACTGGCAAAGCCTGGGAGATGGTGGCAGAGAGGCCAGCCCTAACCGACGGCCACGATCAAACTCGGGACATCCACTCACCGATGAGGTAATTCTTTGAACCGTATGAGGGTTGTTTCTATGTGGGTTGATGTTCTTCTTCATAGTTATTAGAATCTCGGCGTTAATTTATTAATGTATAGCATAATGTGTCTGTACTTTATTGTCATTGGAGGAAGAGTGCTACTGGATTGTCTTACTTCTTTTCTTTCCCTATGTTGTTTCTGTTTGTCTTGCTTTTCCTCAACACTAATTAAGAGTTTTTGTGGTGATATGCTTTTCTTTATTCTAACAAACATTTGTGTCACGACACCGGGGAATCAGATTTATAATAATAATAATAGATAGCATTAATATAGCGCTCTATCCCATACTAGTATAAGCTCTGAGCGCTTTACACCAATCACATAATCATTCAAACAAGAAAAAATATTTCACAGAAGCAAGAAAAACCAATTCAACCACATGAAGAAGAACTTTCACAACCATACATTAACTATGCTACACGAAAGGACATATTGCTAGCCACGTGATTCTACCCCCTAAATGACAAAATTTTAGACAATCACTTTTTGATCCCTTTATGTAGTACAGCCTGATACACCTTATGTTAAAGTCCCAAGTTTGAAAGATTGCTGCAAAGTGTTTCAATCTTTCAGTAAATCAATGGTCTATATCACTCCAGTCAGTCCCCAATTTCCATGTGATTCAACCGCTCATGTGCCAGTTTTGCAACCCAGTGGCGAATGGGCGGTTGAATCACGCAGATTCAGTGGCTTGTTGAGGTGTTCACCTGTCGCGTAGGCAGCACGACACACACGACTGTGGCTTTTGTCAAAACAGACTGGAGGGTAACATCAAAACAAAGGGCTGCCTTTGCTTACTTGGTCTCAAACCGAACCCTATCGATAGCCAGAGGATTTTGTCAGGGCAGTTTGTGTAGGGTTGGTTGAGAAAGAGAAAGATAACATCAAAGAGTATGTTAATGCTGACTTGACCAAGTTGGTAAATTGTGGCAAAAGCTACTGACAAACGATTTTTTAAAAAGAGTCTATGATTGACAGCAAAGGGTCGCTTATTTCACATTTGGTACAACTATTGGAAAATATTTTTATCGCGACTTTTTTGCGTTTCTTAATTGGCTTTAAGTGTGTGCCCCTTGCTGTGTCTGTCATGTACCATTCTTGAATCATTGATTAGTTAATCAGTGCCGGGTAGATGATGCTTAATTTGTCACTCTTAAAAAAAAAAGCAGCTCATAAACATATTCACCTCGAAAATTTTCTCTTCTCTTCAACAAACCTTCAACTTTAGCTCTCCAGCTGTACTCTTCAATTTGAAACAAATTTTATTAATTTTACCTAAATGCAAAGCATTGAGTTTGTATACAACTGCCCTCACACAGTGGTTATTCATTACTGTTGCAAAGACAGTTCACATGACTTGGAGAAGGGAGTTCCACGATTGTCAAATTACCAGGGATCAGAAGAGGACAAGCCGTTTTGTGATAAGTAATATTTCGATAAACGAGAGGAAATTGCTTTCCCATTACTACAGACAGAATACAGGCAAAATCCATCTTGACTAATACTTTCAAAGCCTCAGAGGTCTTACTTTATAGAGAGTACCAAAGAAAATGGAAAGAGTCTCCCATTGTCCTGAACGACTTAAGAGAGGTATTCAAAAAGAGCAACCTGCTGTTGCATGTATGTCGGAAGGATAAATGTGATGTATGCAAGGTAGGAGAAAGAATTTGACTAGAAGCTTGCACAAAACCCAGTGGATGGGACCAGATTATGTTGAGTGTGCATAGACTTGGAAGCGGATTTATTAGTATGGTATTGAACGCATCTGCTCCACTATACCATAACAGGACAAATTAGCTGTCTATAATTTTTAAAATTTGGTAGCCGAAGATGTGAAGTGTCACGTTTGGCTGGAAGGAGAAGGACCGTTGATTGTCAATGAATTCTCTTCTTACGTAAGTAACTTCCTGGAGGAGCCTACTGATAATAAATGAGCCACGTTCATTATAATATAGTGACGGCTGTACTTATCAGACCACAACACATCTCGTCAAATGCAACCAGCGACATTTGTACCAGATAGAACAGAACTGCTGAACACAAATACCTTGAAAAAGAACAAATGCAAATGAAAGTGGACAGACCACACAATGTAATCGAAAGGTCCCTGAAAAATGGTATGGCCTTTGTGCTCATGGATAGTCTTTAACGTCTAAGAAAGCAAGACAATACAACACCCCCCACCCCCCCGATGTTCGATTCAGACAAAAATCACCCTGTTGTCACTAACGTTCATTGCCTTTGATGCACACTGAACAAAAACATCCAGTACAAATTAAACGTTAAGATGAATGGTCTTTTTTACCAACTCCACGAGACCAAAAACAGTCCTGCCCCAGAAGACCCAACCAAATAACTGAAATAATTACTCTTAAGACTATTATGATTTGCTTTTGTCGATAACTCAAACGTCCAAGTGACTGTTGGCGCTCATCGAGGGGCGTTGATTAACGTGATTCAAACGCTTAGACACCATCATACTGTGATGTAGGCGGTTGAATCACGCACATTTTGGGAAGTCTAAACCGCCCATGTCCTGTGACTTATGCAAGAAAGCCTTTTTAAAAAAAAATTAGTTACAGACCATGGTCCAACATCATATCATATATCTGAATTTCAGATTCATAGGTTCGACCATAAAGAAATAAAATAGTTTTTTGCTTCTCCTGAAAAATTTGTCTCTTGGCACTTACGCCGTTGAATCAGGCGGCAAGCGATATATATATATATCTATATATATCTATATATTATCTATATGTATAAAAGTGGACTTGGGAGGCTTTGTGCTCAAAAGCGGAATAGAGAATCCATCTATACAACTCACGGCTGTTCAGTTCTACTATCCTTGCGGAGCACTTAGTTTATCCCGTCTGCTGACCTTCTGGGGTCATAAATCCCATCTGACAGCCGGGCGCGCATCGCTTCCGGGGCAATAGCGCTGTTACCCAATTTCGGTTAGAAAGTGTAATTTTCACTTGGTTTAGACCCCTCTAAATGTCCTCACTTATCTATCACTATGGGTGTGTGAGGTATCAAATGAAAGCTCAGATCTCCCCAATAACCCGCACCCTTTAGTTTGGTTCTAGTTCTAATCGTGTACCCACACTGCCTCTGTACTGAACCCTACCTTGTGGTGCGCATATTTCTCGGATTCCTCCAAAATCAGGATTTTTTTTCCCTTTCGTGAATTTCAGATTGTAACCAGTTTTTTATCTGCTGTATAAAGTGTCAGTAAGGAGGTTATCTGTGAAAAAATTGTTTTGATTGGTCGTAAAACTTTAAGAGGACGGTGAGTTTTGTTACTGCACTCCGTAATATTTTCCTGATCGCTGTGCTGCCCCGTGCGGTATTCACCCGAGGTCCTGCTTCCACTTTCTCGGATTCTGTGTCGACACGTATTACGAGAGTCTGCTACCAGAATGAAAATGGAACACACGCGGGAACTACACCTTGAGTGTTTTTAAAAATTGTTTAGAACGTGCGAGGCCAGAAGTGAAAAGTTTAAGAAGACAAATAAGAGCTAATATTTTTGTGTCAGTTTTAGAAATGACTTTCTCGTTCTTTATCGCGTGAACATGGGCCCGGATAGTGCAGACACACATTCCTGTGAATTGTGCAACAAATGTGTACAGCGCATATACACCTTAAAAATTTGAGAAGCAACCCTAGCCGCTGCACAAAAAAGTATTGAAGAAAGTTCACACATCTGGACACCTTTCGATCAAAATAAGACAGTAGATGCTTTCCCTGTGTGTTCCCTTTGCACATTTCAAAATAAATGTTGTATTAGAAAAGAACATCAAATACTGTTTTGCTCAAAAGACCCACAAGAGCCTCCATCTGTTTAAACACCAACCCACGTAATTGCAGCAGACAAACAATCACATGAAAGTACTCAACAGACATCCATTGTAGATCAATTATCACTAGAAATATCACCAGTGAACTCCCTACTCAGAGATCTAACCCTAGAGACACCTGCCGCGACTTCAACACCCAAATATACACAGAAGAGTTCAAAGACAGGTATTTATATATATCAGGTTCTTTGAGTTGATTGATCCTCCTCCCAGTTTCCCGAATATAGTTAATCACACAACAACCTGTCTTTTGCAACTTTACAACACAACGGCGCTCCCCCCAGGGCGGTGCTACTGACTGAAGTGTGTTCAGGCCATTCCCAAAGGGGGGGCATTCCCATGTTCTGTTGCACAGTAAAATTGTATATGGGCTGATTCGTCAATTTCATGCTCATAACTGTGCTGGAATTGCAACAGGGAACTGCTGCCTTTTCTTTCCTCGTCCTTACTATCGTCAATTTTCCTCTACTTCTTTTGTATGTTATTCACTCTCTTGTGACCCGCTATTTCAGGGGTACCTTGATAGTCGAAGCAGACTTTGTGCTGTTGAAGTTAGAGAGGTGAGCAGAGTAAGCCCATTCCCTGTAAGGACTTCTCTGTTGACGTCCACCCCTAGGCGCTCCTATGACCTTATGCAGTTGCGAGCGCCATAAAACGTCTACTAAAACTAAAACTAAACACAGCGACGTTTTCTTCTTCCACTTCTCTTCTTTCTTCGCGTCTTCTTAGGTTTCAATTCCCATGTGTTTGATATCTTTAACTGAGCACACTTTGCCACAACAGTTTGCCTTTGAAAAAAAAATGCTCATCTTGAATTGAGGTCAAGATATTTGTCATTGAAGGAGGTGGGGGTTACCTGGTGTCAGAAGCAAAATAAGTTTAAAAAATGGCTGCGAAATGTTGGTGATTTCCAAAGCATGAGTGGATTTGGAAATTGTAAATTTTCGTTGTTGGGCCTTTGATAAATATTTTTCAGTAAAATCGCAACAACATTTTTTTGGGTGGAGGCTTTCGTGGTCTAGAGGTTACAATGTTTGCCTCTCATTCAATAGGTTCCGGGTTTGAAGCCTGATAGCAATGGAAAATTTGGGAGACAAAAATTTTCTCATTTCACCTCCTTTCCTTGTCTGTAACCATGTTCTGTCATCTGCTTTCATCTCCGCTTTCTGCCCCCTCCCTTCTCCCCTTTGCCCCCTCCTCTGGGCTCCTGACTCTTTCTGCAACCTTTCTACTGCTACTCCGTGGCTCCTTTTTACTGCGGTCTTTCAGCAACACCCCTGATTTCATGGCTGGTAAGATCTACACCTGGCCTTCTTGGATGAGGGTGAAAAATCTCCGAGGTCCTGTGTGCAAGTTGCGTACGTTAAAGATCCCTTTGTGGTCCTAAAATCGATAACAGTAGGCTTCGGCCACCACTGGGGCAAAATTCAATTATGCAGTTGCGAGGTCCAAATTAACAATGCGTTTTTAGTGTACATGGCAAGTGCTGAGACTCCCCCCCCGCCCCCCCCAAAAAAAAAGAGAAAAAAAAGAAAGAAAAGAATTGGATTAAAAAGTACCCCGTTGGCGCAAAAATGTCTGTTTCTTCAATTTCATTATTTTGAAGAGCGCCTGATTTCACCCCAATGCCATTCATTTCTTGTCATCATCATGCCCTGGTTTTATGAAGTGATATTTCGAGAAAGGTGGATTCCTGTCCAGTGGTATGCAGCATTTATTATTTTAATATTTTCTAATAACATATTAGCCCTTGGAACAGTCTGTAACTTAAATTTATCAAGTTCCTATTTATGATTTTTAGAACAGCATCTGCCTCACACTCTGGTGAAATATGAATTTTTGGAAGAGAAGGTCAGAGGAGATCTGATAAATATGAGATATATGCATACCCCATGGTGCAGTGGCAGGTTTCGAGATATATATACCCTTGAGATCTATCGGTTCACCACCAAAAAATGTTCTTAATCAACAGTTTAAGCTATCTGCCTCTAAATTTTAGTTGGGCTTCCACAGGTTCACAGTAGGGGAAGGGTAGGGGAGAAAGGGAGAAAAAGGAGGAGGAGAGTGGGTGGGGTGTGTGGTTAAGAAGAAAGGGGAAGGGTGGGAGGGGTGCGTGGTTAAGAATAAATGGGGAGGGGGGTAGGAGGAAAATGGGTGGGCAGAACAGTTTTATTATTTTATGTCTTTTCATTTCCCTTCTCTACTTTTGCTGTTGAAAGAATATCCAACATTTTGCCATTTTCCGATGTCAGGAAATCCTTGAGCTGGTGACGGTAAGGAACCTGGACACAGGGGAGACAATCCCGCTAAGCACGGCGGAGGATAAGCTACCTAAATGTGTGAATCCTCTGGCCCTGCACATCATGAGGAGGACCAAGGAGTACAGCAGGTGTGTGTGTGTGGGTGTGTGTGGCGAAGGGAGGTGGGGGCCTGGATGTGTCTATGTGTGTTTCATGTCTGTTTGCTAGCATGTCAGGGTGTGTCAGGGCATGTGTATGTGTATTTTCATGTGTGCATGTGTCTTGTGTGTGCTCATGAATACTTGGAAAGCTTGGTGGGACGAGATCTAAAGTTTAGGTGTCTACTTTGTGTCTTGTTTTCATACTCGTACATATGTAAGCTTGAGTTTAATCAGATGGATTTAACGTTTTTTTTTAGCAATTTCTTCTCATTAGCCATTACTCTTATTATTGTCTTGATGTAGACATCCAGCAGTTCCATTTAAAAAAAGAAGTGAAATTAGTGCTAAACTAACAATAACAAATAACATCTCTGTTTAAAAAGTGTCTTGGACATCAGTTCAAGTCCTTTTGTAATAGATCACTACCCAGTTAGAATATATCAGTCCTAACTACCCTTTTCCAACCCAGTGTACACATGTACAGGGTGATCCCCCAAAAAACTGAACAACTCTTTTTGCTAATATTTTCCTCCACACTGAAGTTTTGCATTTCAAATTTGTACACAACATTTGGAAGTCAAATGGAATTTGTCTGATATTCATTTTAGATAAATCCTCAAAATAGTTTTGCTCTACATAGCTGTCCTCAGAGAAAGTTGCATTTGAAAATAGCAAAAGTTGCAAAAAGTTGCAAGAAAAATTAGCAGAAGTTGTAAGAAAAGTTGCAAGCAGTGTATAGCTAAAAAAATGTCATGGAACTATTGGAATACATTATTGGTATGCTCATGGCAATCAAAGTAACCAACATGAGTTTTGTTAGATTAAAATCAAAAGTTCAATGCGAATGTCTCCAAAAAAACCCCAAAAACAAAACCCTGCATGGAGGTTGCATGGTGTACAAAAACAGTTTGTAAGGTCCTTAAACTCCCGCTGACATTGGGCAGGTGTGATCAGCGTGGTTTGGGGCTGTTCAAATATAATCTTACACCTTCTTTAGGACTGCCCCCCCCCCCCCCCCCAATCCAGTAATATTACAATATTCGCTTATTATAATAATATGACATTTATATTGCGCAAATTGGTGTTTCAATCACTCTTCTATGCTCTTTACTTTTATATAATAGTATTAATGAAAAACATGCGTACACACATGTGACATAATAATTAAATACAAGATAAGCGGAACTTTTCCGGAAAAACTTACGGTGTCATTTTACCATTTTAACAGCACCAATGTAATAAAAATTTGACTTGATCTACATGTCATGTAGCCTAGATATCTACCAGTGTATAAAGTGCGAGGTGGCATGTCGTGCTTGCCGCTCTACGTTACTGTATTACTACAACGCCGTGCTTTTACCGCTCTAAGTGAATAGTATAGTTACTCTTTTTTATGTTATTTTTAAAAAATGATGTTGTCAATAAATATTTCCCTTGTTATTTTTTCACCTTGCAAAAGTGTAATCTTACATTGGTTCAAGACCCCCCCGCCCACCCTTTTCCTGGTGTAAGATTATATTTGAACGTCCCCTTTAGTGGTTTTCAGGATGAATCGATCCATGTCTAGATTTACCCTCCTAGCCTAAGATTTAAAATCTTGCACAAATTTTTATACTAGGTCTAGATCTATCTGCCTAGTGCTACGGAACCAAGCAAGCTAAGACTAAGTAATCAGACCATCATGTTTACGATTGATTTACTCTAGATCTAGATCTAGCTAGAAGATGATTCAATCCAAACAGGACTATTGGGTGGGTCGGGTCGGTTCGGTTTGCTTGTCAGATTGGTGGCGCAAAGCGGCCATCGTGGCACAAGTCAATCGTGCCCGACTCGTTGCCTCAAACACAAACACGTTGTTTTCAGGCGACGAATCGGGCGATTATCCCGACCCTACCTGACCAGTCGTGATCCCATCCGCAGTGAGCACTGGGCACCCCGTAGTGCAAAGGAGTGAATTGTCCCCCTTGGCGTCGTTATTTTTAGTTGTGGAAGAAAATTTTGGTGTCTTTAACAAAATGCTATTATTTTTCCGGCTTTTGCAGAAAATTGGCTAAAATTAGCGATTTCATGAAAATGGCAAAAGTTGCGCTGAGGGCAAAAGTTGGGCTCGCAAGTTGCGAGTTGCAGGCATGAATTTCTCTGAGGCTAGACCTAGCGCTTAAAAATCCAACCCTTTTTTCAGCTATATCCCCATTTTTGTTTTTCATGAAGGACTAGGCCAACAGAAGTTTGCAGATAGTTTTTCTCAAGTTTCCTTTGCCTGCTGAGATAATGGTTAACCCTGTCAGACCTAACCCCCTTAGCCTAACTTCCCTCTATACCTGGCCTCCTGAGCAAAAGTTTGCATAAAACGCATGGTTCACAAAAGTGGTTAGTACAAGAAAATGAGTTATCAGAAACACATGAAACTTGATAAAAATACAGACAAGAGACCTACCTTTGAGCTAATGCCAATACTTGGATAGGTTTTCAAGCACTTCTTGTGTCTTAAAGAGTTAAAACCTAGCCCTCTTTCCTATTGAAGTGCTTGGTTCATCAGCACGTCTCTTCGTGATGAAAAAATTCCAAAATTTAGAAGAGAAACAACACTGCAGTCCAACCTCATGGAGTCTACGATTTGCAATGATAATTCCCGCACTAAATGCAGAGTTTAGAGCTGATTGGCCACCTATTTTTAAATATGACGTGACTTTAAGATGGGGCCTCTCAATTACCGGTCAAACGGTAATCCGGCATAGTTGATGTTTTGAGTATCGGGAATACAGTCTGTCAGGGTTAAGATAAGTAAACAGCAGAGAGCTTTTTGTATTGAACATTTCCTTACCACAAACTCATTTCGTATGTTTCACACAAGGTACGGAAATAATGTTAAAGTGTCCTTAAGGCCTTCTTTAATGTCAAGGGTGGAAATGGTCAGTCAGTTAGGACCTGTAGAGAATCCGAACTAAAGAGTCCCCAGAAGACCAGAAGAAAGCTGAACATTTTAACTGGTATTTCGCCTCTGTAAACAGGGCAAGTAGACTAACTGAGGCCGATAGGGCTCCTCATAAATGAGGCTAAGCACGAAGATAAAGCCCCTACCGTGAACAACACCCTTTTTGAGGAGGACTTCAGCATGATGGAACTTGGACTGGCCCTCAAAAATTTTAAGCAAAAGAAAGCCCCAGGACTAGACAAAATACTTAACGAAATGCTGTGCAACTTTGGTGCTAAAGGAAAAGATGTTATACGCCGCTTAGTAAATACCATGTGAAGAATGAGAGGAATACCAAAGGCATGGAGGATTGTCCAGATCATACCGCTCCTTAAGAAGGGGAAACCACATGGAGAAACGGAGAGCTGCCGACTTATATCTCTAACATTATGTAAGATGCCGAAAGAATGATAAACATCTGCCTTTACTGGTACCTGGAAAACACCAACAGCTTGAATCCACATCAAGCAGGCTTTAGAAAAGGCAGCAACACAGAAGACCAACTTTTCAAACTTAAGTCAAGACATCCAGGATGGTTTTCAGGAGACAAAACACACTGTCGCCATTTTTGTAGACCTCCAACAGGCATACGACAGACTGTGGAGAAAAGGCCTACTCATGAAAATGATGGACCTCGGGATACATGGAAAACTTTTTAAATGGATCAAGTTTTTCGTAGCGGATGGAAACATCGAAACAAAGGTGAACAATGTCCACTCGTCAAGAGAAGTACTTGAGAAAGGCCTACCCCAAAGTTCCTGTCTGAGTTGCACTCTGTTCCTGATCTTCTTCAATGATGTAACGAACATGCTGAAATCTGAAAAGACTCTACGCTGATGATCTTGCTCTCTGGCAGACACATCACAGCACGGTAGTAGGAGCAGGGAAATTAAATGAAGACCTCAAGAGGCTCAACAATTACTGTCAGAAATGGAAGCTCAAATTAAACTGCACGAAAACAGTAAACACCATCTTTACAAAGAGCCATAAAACAGAAAGAAAAACTCCAACTGAAAATAGGAAATGAAAATCTACCAAAAGAAGAACAAGCAACATGCCTAGGGGTCAAATTTAACCAAAGTCTGACCATGAAAAGCCAAGTGGAGAGCATAAAGAACAAGGCGAAAAGAAAACTCCCACTTTTAAAGAAACTAGCAAGCGCAGGTATCGGGGATCAGACAAACTCTGAGAGCTCTATACTTTGGTTATGTCCGATCTTCCCTGGAATAGAGCAATAGCCTACTCTCTATGTGTAGTGCAACTACTTGCAATTCCCTTGACAAGGTCCAAAATAATGCCCTTCATTTCATAAACGGTGGCATGAGATCTACACCTACTGCCGCATGTGAAATTCTTTCAAATGTTGAACCCCTGGGAATTCTCAGAGATACAGCAGTTTCGAAGCTCCTTGAAAGAACCAAAAGAATGTGCCCCAACCACCCAAACAGGAAATTAGTAGAAACATGGAAACCAAAGAAACGACTTCAACAAAAACCAATCATGCATCGAATCACAGAACTAATGGAGAGTCACCATCTATCACAAAACAAAAGAAAAACCAAAAGAGTCAATCAAAACATCCCTCCCCACATTTCTATGGAAAAACCAATCATTACAACATCTCTCAGAGACAATAGCTCAAAACCTTCAGACCCAGTGAAGTTGATGCTTGCATCACTTCAAACAATCAACAGCTATTCATATGACAAGATACACGTCTATACAGGCGGCTCAGCATCTAAAGGCCCAACCAAAGCCAGATATGGAATACTAATACAGTACCCAGATGGAAGTTCCGATGAGATCTCTGCAGCCTGTGGAGAGAAATGCAACAACTACGATGCAGAAATGATAGCCATTGAAACAGCACAATACCATCTCCGCACAGTGTTTGACACTCTTCCAAACGAAACGAAGAGTATAGTGATTTTCACTAATTCACTATCAGTCTTGGAAGCAGTAGAAAATGACCATCATCTAAACGAAGACTTGACACATATACTGTTTGGCTCCC